TTATTATATAAATTATAAATAATTTATTATTTATATTGTAAAAGTTATCAACGCAGAAAGTGAGATTGCAGCGCTGCGCGCGCGCCGTTCCTGAGGATAACAATCTCTACGCATCGTTCAATTCATGCCTAAAAATAAGGACTTAACCCAACCGAATCGGCCCGACAGACGAATAGCGTGTGACATCCGTTCTGCAGCCTGAAAAATGGCGTGGTTATGCGCCCGTAGCGTACTCCAAACGTGTCGACGACCGATCTCCTACAGCCTCGCGTGTGCTCAAAAAAAATGTAAATATCTCGTTCGTAAAACGCTCACGAATATACTTATACGACCGTCTTCGGATAACATGTTTCTCTCGTCTTTATACTTGGACGTACTCCATATTACGTAATATATTTTTCGTTCGTCTAATCGATTTTCATCTTTTCATTGGCCATGTCCGATGTATTTTGACGCAGAGAAAAAATTCGGAAAAATTCTCGATTCATGATGTACGTTTTCTTTTCTCGACAGTCGCCGATTCCCTCGATCATGCCACTGGTTTGGAGAAGAGGGAGATGCTCGCCCGTTTAGCCGGTAACGATGTAAGTTGTGACGTTTCTACAAGTTCAAAGGAAATATCTCTATCGCCTTGACGTGCTAATGATATGATCTAATGCATCACGATCTTTTCGATACACATCTACTTTATCTTCTTACGAAACTTTTATGCATATATTTATTTTTATATATGACACTCATTTTTAGAAGGCTGCATTTTATCCTGTATGCGTATTTTTACTACAGATCACTGTGTGATAAATATTAATGGAATATCTCTTTTAAAAGAAAAAACAATATAGTATATATTCTCCTAACTTGTTTCTCTCTAGGATCCCTATAATTTGACTATAAAACGACGACCAGACAGTACAAAGGAGAATCCTAATATAGTCTATAGCGCATTTGAGAGTCGTATAATGGGATGCATTTGTGACGAGGATGCATTGCACGTAAATTGGATGTGGTTGCATCAAGGTCCCCCACGTCGCTGCGAATGTGGCCATTGGTTTAAGCTAGTCGAGAAAGCACCGATATAATATACTTAAGGATGAACTAGTGGATTGTTTTCAACATAGAATTAATATTATATTAGACAGTAATTACATCTATTTTCATTTATTACCACATTCTTCCTCTATGTATCCTATCCAAAAAATAAATCTTTCATTGTACCAGAAATGCAGAAATAAACAAATCTATTGTTAATATTATGTATCATATATAGTTTTTCACATTCTTCGTCGTTAAAATATATGGTTCTTTTTATTACTAAAATACGAATTAAAAGAATTATATACATGGAATAGATTGCAATTTTTACAAAATTATTCCATGTGAAGATCATTTTTTGTTTTAAACTAAATTACATGCAGCTGAATATATTATAAGCACATAGTCTTAGAAAATATATATATTTATTTTTGTTTTGTATATAAAGAAAATTCTAATTATAATAAATATATGTATATATACATCACTTCTTTCTTCCAGCTCGCTCCAGTTTAAACCTGCTTACAATTTTCTTTTCATTCTTTTTTTCTAAAGTATTATTCACTGGCGATATTTTATTTTCTTGGACTTTTTCCTTGATTACCTATACAAAATATATCTATCAGCATATACAATTATTTATGTAGTGGTGTATTATTATTATTAAATTATTTTTCTACTCACAGAATTGTAGGCAGAATGTTTAACATGTTCAACTTCATCTTCTACATTAGTACTACTTTCTTCGTTTAAAGGAGGAACAATTTTATTAGGAATCATATCATTTGGAGATCTTTTCAAAATTGACTTGGGAACACTAAAAATTTTATAAATATCTATTGGGCTTTGTATTTCTGTATTACTTGATGCAGATATATTTGGAATATGGGATGAATGTGAAAACTCAATCCTGACAATACCATTATCATTATCATTTTCCGAATCATCATTATACATTTTATCTTGCTTTGAAATAAAACAGGATTCTTTATTAGGCATTGATATTTCTCCTTCTTCTGTATCGCTTTCTGTATTTTCCATAATACATGGTTCAATAAATGACACTCTCCCTGTTTTCCTTGCATTTGTGGGTTTGAATATATCCTCTCTAGATTCAGGTGAGTGATTATTTTTTAATTCCTCTTGACTAGAATTTACAGTGAGATCAAAATGTTCATTTTTTATAACATTTGTATCGAGAATTTTATGTCGAGTTGCATCGGAACTATCGTCCGATGTATTATATGTGATTTTACTCGTTTGAGTATCTCTTAATTTTTCAAATTCCTCAATCATCTCTGTTGTAATTTCGACAGAATCAGATGAATCTTCCTCCGAATCGTCATAGACTTCTCCTTCTTTCAAATCGCCATAAAAATCTTTTCGTTCAGCTTCCAGTCTGCATAAAATTTTGAATAGATTGGTTTTATTCTAATTATATAGCCACTAATAAGAATTTCAATTTTAAAAATGAGTAACCTGCATATTTCATCTTTTAGTTCTTCTTCCAATTCTAACTCATCTAGTCTTTTAAAAAGATCTTCTTCAGTGCAAATATTAGTCTTTTCTTTTTCTCTCAACTCTGCTAGTTTCTGACGATACTCCTTTTCACGCTGCCTATGTTGTACTACAATTAAACATACTTTGATTCTAGCATCTCTCTAGCATACTAAATAAAAATATATTTAAAAAAACAAATGATAAATATGATAAATATTTACTCTTCCATTTATCAAGTTTGTCTTCATTCCAATGTTCCAATATATCTTTTCTATCTTCTTCTCCAAAAATATCATGTTTTAATGTGAAATATTGTCTCGTCTCATACAAGTTTCTTTCAGCTTCTAAATCATTCAACATTTTTTCTGCCCCTGAAATAAGAAAGTACAATGTATAATATATTTAATATAAAATGACGAAACAAAAACATATATATATATATAAAATTTATACATGCTATCCTCTTTTTGCACAATGAGATTGCCTGTGATGCACTATATTTTGCAAAATAGCCATCTCCCAGATAAACCATAATTTCATTAGTATGAATTAATTTTCCTTTCATTAACGCTCGCTTGCCGATAGGTACCATACAATTTTCCGAGACAGATAACGGATATACTTCAAGTCCTTCTATCACCTTTTTGTACTTGTGTCTATAATCGTTCCATGTATTTATTTGTTTCTCATTTTGTTCAAGTTCCTGTAACATATATATCAGTTATTGATTTTTGTATTGTAATAAATATAATTTAAATAAAAAATTGTCACAATATGTATACAATTTGAGTGAAAAACAATTATACCTGTGCGAAAACATTATTCAACAGTATCCGTTGATAACTTTTCATTTGTTCAGAGTCCATTGTTGCATCATTAGTTACAATATTATCCATTGTAGATATATCTATATATCATATAAAAAAATCAAATATTAAGGTACAAAGTAAAAAATATATTCGTACAAATATACGTATGGGCTAAACAATTTTCTTTTCTTTCGCATACATACACCACAGATTATGTTCGTGAACGTTGCGATCGTCAAAGTTCCAAAATTCTACCCGTGGGATAGAATAGCATTTACGGTACGTTCGGAAACAGCACCCGAGCATCGTTCTATCTTTGTTCAACTTTTAGTAAATAACAAAGATAGAACGACGCTCGTGTGCACACCATAGGCCGGTATTCATAGTCAGTTCTTAAGGTACCTTTACATGGCAGCGTTAAGGCACCTTTACATGGCAGCATTAAGCGTCGAGCGTCTGCGCAGAAAAATGCGCAGAATTTAAAAGAGATAGATTCTAGGCTAAAATTAGATTCTGCGCAATTTTCTACGCAGACGCTCGACGCTTGACGCTGCCATGTAAAGGCACCTT